AAATCAAAAAATTATTGGAGTTAATTATAACATTTAATTATTGTCAAACTCTAAATTGATTATGATAAGTTTTAAATTAAAATTTAATTATATAACATATATATACCTTTATAAAATTATAATAATTATAATAATAATCTTAGATAAAATAAACAATATTTACTATTAATAATTAATTTTATTTTGTTATACAATTAATTATATATATATATATCATTACACATTAGTATTTATTGATAATAATTCATTTAAAAATAGAATCTAAAAAATAAGTCAATTACATTAATAGTAATAATAATAATAATAATTATAATAATAATAATTATTATATTAATAATTATAATAATAATAATAATAATAATTACAATAATAATAATTACAATAATAATAATAATAATAATAATTATTATAATTATAATAATAATAATTATAATAATAATAATAATCAAAATGTTAGAATATTTTAACAAAAAAATCAAGTATAGTAAACACTGCTAGACCTAACCAAATACCCAGAAGCCCACCTAAATTACAAAGAAATTCAATTGACGACATTTTTGCTGAATACTCAACCAATTGATCGGAGTGTGCCGAGTGCTGTATAAAGGCTTTAACTGTTGAATTATTCCATCTATTGGTTGTGTTAGGTGTAAATGCAATACTTTTTTGGTCCAACAATGTCATAAAATAGTTATTATCGTAACATGAGTCGGCACATTTTTTGTTGCATATTTCCCGGAACGGTAACCTACAGGTGCTATAACGTATATATTGATAGCACGCCGAAACATTTTCGTCGACCAGGTATTCCGGTATTAGACTTACATCCCATGGAATACAAATATTGCATTTAACTAACCGTTTATTTTCAATACAGCAGCGATTTTTAGCCATAATATGCTGTTGAAGGCACTGATATCGACAATCAAATCGGCTCCGGAGCTTTTGGTCATCACCACCACCACCACTACCGGTTCCGCTGCTATTATCATAAATACTATATTCTTTGCAATTTGTATCCCATTTCGGTGGCATTCGTATGGTTTTAATTGTGGAATACCCGATACGATATAAATTATTGATATGTAATGGGAATATATTTGCGGTATACATGTCGTGTGGCGTATTATTTCCCGAATGCATAATCAGAGTCAATGGATTATCGGTATACATTGATGTCGGGAACCAGTTTTTGTTGTGGCCGACCCTAAAAATTATTGACACCAAATCGCTTTTGTATTTTTGATATAAGGGATTAAGTTCTGTAAAAAACGATAAGCATTTGCTGGGATAATCAAATTTTGTAAACGAAACAATTGGATTTAAATCGGTAATTGTTTTCAGTTTTGTGTCGTTATAGGCATTAATAATTGCAAATATATATTGACCGCCATTGATATGAGTTTCATTGGTAGTAATCAAATGAGGAACCGTTAAATTATCATTATTATCGTACAAATCTTTAAGCGGCAAACGTTTATCTAAATAATAATTGACAAACTTGTCATAGATTTCAGTTAAGTTAAGTCTTAGCTTTTCATCTTCATAAGCTTTGTCATCGACACTGTCTATGAGTTGTCTGTATTTAATATAATCGTTTCGCAAATCCGGGTATCGTTTGGCCAGTGTATCCATACGTAATGCCATCGGTAGACATAGGGTTATCCCGGGTAGCGATTCATCAGTTAATCGGACATATTTAGTGTCGACCACTGTCTTACCGCTGCTAAACTGTCTAAACAGTTCATATGAATGGTATAGTAGTAGAGAAACGCATACAACAAACAAAACAATCTTTAAAATTGTTTGCCGTTTCTGACGGACAGTCATTTCTGTCCATTTTTTCTGAATCTTATTCATTGATTGTTGTGAATCAGACATAACTTTTTTTCAAACAAAAAAAAATATATATAATCATATACTTTATTATATGATTTTAAATAACTTATGATTATAACTATGCAATTAATATTAAAAAATCAAATTTTTATTATATATATATATATATATATATGTATATATTATTTTTCTTTTTTAATTTTTCATTTAAAAAGAGTATAATATTTTATGTCTGAATAAACTATAATATATTTATTGAATAAAAATAAAATTCAATAAAAACTATTATTTAAATTATATTCAATGAATTTTATTTAATCCAATTGTAAATTACATAATACATTATAAAATAATTTTTTGTCGTTAATTAGTGTTCATTCATTTGCATACTGTATATGCAATCAAGGTTAAGCAAATTTTGTTGGTCTAGAGGGGGGGGGTGGTAAGTGTAGGGTCAATTTTCGAAAAATCTTGTAGGGTGGGGTTACTGGGTATTGTGTCAAATTTTATTGTATTTTTAAAAGGCAATTTTTTCAAAATTTAAAAATCATATAAATTGCTTAAAAATACACATTTAAATGTAAGGAATTTACTGAATAATAGGAAAATATTCCCAATAAATTCCATTATTTTCGGCAAATATTCTAAAAATTATGAATTTTTTAATTTATCTTTATTTTAAATAACAAAAATTATTTTAACATTAATAAGGAAAAATTTAAAAATATAGTATTTAAAAATATAGTATATAAAAATATTAAAAATATAAATATAGTAAGGATATAGTAGTGAGGATTTTTATTTTTAACTCATACTGTTTATATAATTGAAATAAAATTTTTACCAAATAAGTTAGATAAACATAAAACTAGTATTTTTAAAAATTATTTATTTTATTTGTGGGGGAAGGGTTGCGTAATTTTCTTATCTAATCATTTTAATTTTTAAATTTTCTAAAAAGAATGGGGGCTAAAATCTCCAAAATATTTGTTGTTGGGGGGGGGTGTAAACCCAGCCATACCACCCCTTACCCTCAGCGCTAAAACCCTGTTATGTAATAAATAAATTTTTATTTAACACAAAATTATTGTAATTATTCTATAAATATTGTAATGTTTTTTTTAAATATTTTTTCAATGTTATATTTCAAAAAATTTTGAAATTTGATTTGATTATTAATTTAGATTTTTCATTTTTGTTTTTTATGTTATTTTATAATATTAATATAATATAGTGATTGACATTTTTGTTGTCTTTTTGAATTCATATAAAAACTTGGTTTAGGTGCCAATAATTGTATTGTTTTGGATAACAAAAACATAATAACAATTGTTATATAAAATAGCTGACAATGATATGATAGCTAAACATATAGTACAGTACGATATTAGACCAAAATAAGCTAAAATATTAAATAATGTTTAGCTGAAAAAAAATTAGTTATTAAGTGCCAAAAAATATTGTATGGATTTCATATAAAATAATTATTATCAAACAATTTTTAAAAAACATATAATAAAACTAATTTATATTAAACTATATTATAAACTAATTAATATGTTTTTTTTGTAATTATACAGTACTGTACTTTTCATAAATTAGATTTTATTAAAAAATTTACTTTTAAAATATTATTTAATTATAATAGTTTATTGTGATTAATATAACTCTATATTTGGTTTACATAATATTTTTGCATAATTTTATTTGAAATTTTATAACAAATATCAAACGGTAATTATAATTATTTATTAAATTAACTATTTTGCTTTTATTTATATTGTTTTATATAATAACTATATAATTTTTTTTAATTATTTTATTATATTTTTTAATAATTAACTATTAATATAATTTATTACTTATACAGTCAAACAGATTTAATAATACAATAATTGTTATTAAATTCATTGTATATTAATGACATTATTTTCATTGTAATATTCACTAGAAATATATACTTTATTTTTATAATCACTACTGAAATATGTTTTTCCTGCACCCGATTGTATGGATATAATGACCGATAGATTACATATCAATTGTGGTCTACATATCATTAGATTATTGCAATTAAGTACCAATTGATTGAAACGATATTCATCCCAACTAAACACCTGTCCATCACTTGTCAATGCAAACGATAAGTTATCAAAACAGTAAACAGATTTTATAGAATAATTGTCATTAAATTTTATTTTTTTCCGGTTTAGTAATTGATTCACAAGTGATGTCTCGGCTACCGATTTGTCCGAAATGATTGCTAACCTAACCTAACAATTGAATTATTATTAGTTAACACAACTCACATCACGTATTAAATAATTGTTGTAATCATTATATACTTATAATTAAAATTATATAATCCCTGAACCAACTGTCCATTTCTTTCTTTACCACAACTGTATAGACATGACTATAACTATCACACGATATCAGAAACGGATAGATCATTAAATTATATGATTTTGGGATTAATAACAGTTCACGAAATGGTATCACAGAGTCATACGTCAGTCCTAAATATATGGCACCCGAAGTCATAAGTGGTCGCAAATATGACACCAAAGCTGATGTCTATAGTCTTAGTGTTATTATTGAAGAGTTGTTCGATACGAATGTCAATGAGTTTGTATTAATTATATTTTAATTAATTTTAATAAAAATATTTCAATACTTTTATATTTAGTTCACGCGATAAATATATATCATATGAATGGAGTGACAAATATTGTAATCTATTGAATGTTATTAAACATACGATGCAACCGGTCTATGATGACAGACCTACCTGTGCTCAGATAATTCAACAGTACAATGAATGGGCTATCGATAGCACAGTTGTTACAAATGATGTCGAGTTTAATGAAAAACTCCAACAAATCAAACACAAGGAATGGAAACTCCGTATAGAAAACATGGATTCAAAGCCAGAATTATGGCAATTGTTTTATACATTTTTTTGCATTAAAACTATATATTTTAATCTAAATATTTAGATTTTACTGAATTTATACAATTACTATTGTTTAAAAAAACATTAAAAATAAATATTTTAATATAACGTTTTGGATACTATATTAATAATTACTTTTCTTTATATCTTATTGCTTATTATCCATTGTATTCAATAAAAATGTATATAAATCAGTAACTATTGTTTAAAACATAAGCTGTTTTTCCGGTTTAGTAATTGCTTCACAAGTGGTGTCTCGGCTACCGATTTGTCCGAAATGATTGCGACCCCAACCATACACTTCATTATTATTCGTTAAAACTAATGTGTGATATAAACCACAACTCATATCACTTATCAAATCATTGTTGTCATTGATTTGTATAATCATTGATTTCTTATATGTTTTATCATCACATCCCTAACCCAACTCTCTATTTCTATCATAACCACAAATATATATACAATTATCACCAGTTAAACAAAATATATTTATTAAATACTGTATATTATATTATTAAATATTATATTGAGTCGTTATTTAATAGCACTTATTTTTAAAAATTTTACACTTAAATCATAATTACTGTTTATTTTATCAAATATTTACATCAAATTAAACAAAACAAAAAAAACAAAATATGAAAATAAATGGCAATAAAGTATATACAGCTTGTGTTTTAAACAATATTTATTCATTTATATACATTTTTATTGAATACAATGTATAATAAGTAATAAGATATAAAATATAATAATAAGTAATTATTAATATTGTATCTAAAAAGTTATATTAAAATTTTTAGTTTTAATACAAACAAATGTATAAAACAATTGCCATAATTCTGGCTCTGAATCCATGTTTTCTATACGGAGTTTCCATTCCTTGTGTTTGATTTGTTGGAGTTTTTCATTAAACTCGACATCATTTGTAACAACTGTGCTATCGATAGCCCATTCATTGTACTGTTCAATGATCTGAGCACAGGTAGGTCTCTTTGCATATAAAGTTTTTGTTGCACCGATTGTTATGTCAAACAATTTATTGTATTTATCACTCCATTCACTGGATATATATTTATCACGATCTCTAATGACAGACAAATAAAAAATTCATTGCAACTATTTTGACTCCAACTAAACACCTGTCCATCACTTGTCAGTGCAAAAGACAAGTTTTCAAAACAGTGAACAGATTTTATACAATAATTGTCATTAAATTTTATTTTTTCCGGTTTAGTAATTGATTCACAAGTTGTGTCTCGGCTACCGATTTGTCCGAAATGATTGCGACCCCAAACCATACATATCATTATTATGCGTTAAAACTAATGTATGATATGAACCACAACTCATATCACGTATCAAATCATTGTTGTCATTGATTTGTATAATCATTGGTTTCTTATAATTATTATCATCACATCCCCGACCTAACTGTCCATTTCTATCTAAACCACAACTATAGACACAGTTATCACGAGTTAAACAAACTATGAATTCACTTCCGTTTATAAATTTTATACATATTTTATTTGACAACTCTATGATCTCTTGTGGTTCACTCACCCACTGGTTGTGTCCCAAACCCAGTAATCCCCAGACATTAGCACCCAATCCATAGACCCGATCATCATCTTTGGTCACAAACATCATATTAACCCCCAATTCGTCGTCAAACACATAAAACTTATCAATTTTTTTTGATCCAATCATTTGGTGTTAATTCTTGTGTTTATATATTTATATCATTTATTTCATTGTTTATTAATTTTGTTGACTTATTACTCATTTCAACTACAATTAATAATTTTAATATAAAATATTATAGAATTTAAAAACAACTATAATTAAAAAAAAAGTATAAAATTATAAAAATATTTTATTATTTAGATTTTATTTATTTATTCAAAACATAAGTTTTGTTTTTAATAAACCTTTAAATTTTCGAAATTCAATGCAATTTTAATGCTATATTGTTGTTATTATAATTTAATTAACAAACAAACAAAAAAAAACTAAATAAAACATTTTATTTTTAAAATGTCACAAAATGTTTGCAATAAATGTATATTAAATTATTATATTAATAAATATATTTTTAACAATATTAATAAATATATTTTTAACAAAATTAATAAATATTTGTCATTATTATTATTCATTATTAAAATATTCAATAAATTTTAATTAAGATTTTATTTATTCAAAAATGTTTTTTTTTAAAAAATAATAATAACATAAATAAATAATTGTTTTAAATTTACTTAAATCTAAATATTTAGTTTTTAAATATATATTTGTGTGTTTGTCTATTATATATATGAAAATTAGTTAATCTATTATTATTATTATTTTTTTTTGGTAACTATATATATATTATGTATATTTGCCATTATTCATGGGTACCATAACCCTAACATTGGGCACAATAACCGGTATAATTACTTTATAGCGGGCTATTATACGGCGCTCACGTTTCGGTACCAAAAGTGCTTCTCTATAGTGAACTATAAATTTTTAATTTTAAAAAATTATTTTGAAATAGATATTATAGTATAGTATAATAAGTTTTATATAGACTATATATTATAATAAATTTTATATACACTGTATATTATAATAAGTTTTATATCCAGTATATTATAATAAGTTTTATATATACTGTATATTATAATAAGTTTTATATACAGTATTTAATTATCAGTACTTACCGGTCGGATCAGTCATTTGAAGCATTTTATCATCACTTTTATCATCAGTTTTTTCGCCAACTATTTCAGTCGTTGTCGTTGTAGTTGTCATCGTCGGCGGTGTTGTTGTCGGTGTCGATGTCGGTGTTGTCGTTGTTTTACTAGTATCTGATAGTTCTTTGCGTTGTTGATCACTACCATCTGAATCGTTTCCATCGTCAAACATATCCATCATAGCACCGGTAGTTTGTTTTTGTTGGCCATTATTTTTAGGTTTTACCTTTGATTCTTCGTCATCGGTGTCGCCGCCGTCGACCGACTTGTCTTTTACTTTGATTTCGGGAATCGCTTCCATTTGAAAGTAGTCTTCATTTAAAAATTTTTTTTTTGTGTATTGTATTTATCATTCCATTCACTGGATATGTATTTGTCTTGAGATCTAATAACAGATAAATAAAAATTATTAATTAAATAAATTTCAATTAAATGTATAATTCACTCATTGATATCAAAATCAAACAGCTTTTCAATTGTAACCCCAATACTATAAACATCAGCTTTTGTATTATATTTGCGACCACTCATGACTTCGGGTGCCATATATTTAGGAGTTCCTACGCCTCCCGTATGACTCTGTAATACCATTTCGTGAACTGTTATTAATCCCAAATCACATAACTTAACGAACCGTCCGTTTATGATGTCGTTGGCTATCAATATGTTGTCGGGTTTGAGATCGCGATGAATGACCGGTGGATTCAATTCATGCAAATATCGGACACATTCTAACACTTCTAATAGTATTTCACACGTAATGTAATACTCCATACAATCCATGGGTTCATCTGATGATTGTCTTTGAAATACCTGTGCTTTCAATTTGATTGCCTCTTTCAGACTCATTATGCAATAATCCATTGAAATATATATACAATTTTTGTAATACCAAAATGTGTTGTTATTAACTAAATATTGTGCCTTAATTTTAGTGACTTTTTCAATTTCTTGTAAATACATATCATATGTTGCCACTAATTTTTTAAAAAAAATATTTAAAAAAAACTTTTATTGAGTTAAATATTAAGATAAAAATATTCTAATTTTTAAGTATTAGTTAATCATTTTCATAACTGCTATACTATCATAAAATTTTAAGGAATATTCTAGTATTTTACTACTAATAGTATTAAGAATATAGAATTTCTTATATTTGATATTATTTATACTATTTATTTAAGAATTAATTAATTTAAAATTTAACATTTTTTGTATATAAATAATAGATACCTGGTAATTTAATAATTTTTATGGCATATATGATTTCATCAATTTTATTTTTTGCATTTATAAACCGATCCAAAGCTTCCCAAACCCAATGCTTGCAACTCATCATAACAGCTATAATATGTATTATAAATTTTATCTAAAAGAATATATTTGAATATAAATATAATTTTCAATATTATATCATAACAGCTGTAAAAAAAGGGTTATAAAAAACAGTTTCTATAAAATATATGTAAATAATTTCAACTAATATTATGTAATTATTAACACAAAAATGTTATAATAAACAAACCTAAGTTCAACTTATCTAAACTTTGATAATCAGATTTAATTGTTTTAATTGTATAATCAATAAATTCAATCATATATATATATACTGTATTTAACTAATATTAATATTTACAGTACAATAAATGCATTTAAATTATTTTATTATAATAAATAATTTGTTAGCATTAGAGATGCCATTATATTAATTCAAATACACACTAAAAAACAGAGATCTATAATATAGATTCTATATCTAGATTCTATATCTAGATTCTATATATTCACACATATTTATAAAAAAAAATTTAAGTTATTATTTTTTTATAAATAAATTTTAATTAATATATATATATAGAAATAAATTATTAAATAAACATATTTGATAATAATTAAATAAATTATGTTGTATTATATTTTACATTATATTAATTATAATTATATTTAGCTATAAATATTTTCTTAGATATTATTTTTTTTTTTAAATATTATTAACTAAAACTACTAAAAACAAACACAAGGTTAATATATATTATATATATAATACAATTATCAATAGAGGAATACAGTAACAATAAAAATCTTAATATAAGTTATTATTATTATTATTAGATATTATTAGTAATAATACCTAATAATTATGTTTTTTGCTAAACTAATTGTATGGATACTATTGAGTACATTAACGAATGTCATAGTAGTTACTCGTTAGTCTATTTTTATTAATAAATTAATTGATTTTGTTAATTATTATTATTATTATTATTACTATTACTATTACTATTAATATTATTCTTATAATTATTATAATTATTATTACTAATATAATTCTTATAATTAATATTATTATAATTATTATAATTATTATAATTAATATAATAATTATTATAATTAATATTATTATAATTAATATTATTATTCTTAATATAGTTTTTGCAACTGAAAGACCTGATACTACTGAAACTGTTTGTATCGATAACAGCCAACCCTGTAAACTAAACAGCGACTGTTGTAACGGTTTGTGTCATAGTTTTAATTATAACCGGGAATGTTATGACGATAAATGCCAATCGGATGGACAGGAATGCGAAAACAGTTCCGATTGTTGTAACCATAACTGTCGACACTTTAATAATAGATGGGAATGTTGTCGGGGATCGGATTGTAGGGAACATACTATTGAATAATAAAACTCACTGTTAAAAATGAAACCGTAATATAAAAATTATTTTATTATATTTATGTTTAATTATAATATATAGTATATTAAAATATATTATTTGTATAATTTAAGTAACAAATATTTAAATGAAAAAACTAACAATTATTGATATATTAATATTATAATATATATGTATATATATATATATATTTAAAATAATAAGTTATTTGTTAATAAAGTTTGTGTTAAACAATAATATCTAAACAAAAGTTATGAAAAATTGTTTAAAATAGATATGATTTTTTTTTTGATTATAAATTATTAATAGAAAATCAATTATTCTATTCGTTTATTTAATTTTAAATATTTTATTGTATTTTTTTATAGATTGCATTATATTATTTATAAATGTTTAAAATTACTTAAATCTAAATCTAAATATTTATATTAAAATATTTAGTTTTATTGCAAACAAATGTATAAAACAATTGCCATAATTCTGGCTCTGAATCCATGTTTTCTATACGGAGTTTCCATTCCTTGTGTTTGATTTGTTGGAGTTTTTCATTAAATTCTGGTTTATTTGTAACAACTGTGCTATCGATAGCCCATTCATTGTACTGTTGAATGATCTGAGAACAGGTAGGTCTCTCTGAATATAAAGTTTTTGTTGTACTAATTGTAATGTCAAACAATTTATTGTATTTATCACTCCAAACACTGGATATATATTTATCACAATCTCTAATGACAGACAAATAAAAAATTGTAAAAATTTTAAGTTAAATAAAATTCAATTAAATTTATAATTCACTCATTTATATGAATATCAAACATCTTTTCAATTGTAGCCCCAATGCTATAGACATCAGCTTTGGTGTCATATTTGCGACCACTTATGACTTCGGGTGCCATATATTTAGGACTTCCCACACCTGACGTATGACTCTGTGATACCATTTCGTGAACTGTTATTAATCCCAAATCACATAACTTAACGAACCGTCCGTTTATAATGTCGTTGGCTATCAATATGTTGTCATAATATCATATGTATAAAACAAAATAATAAAAATTTAACTAAATAAGTTGTCAATTATTCAATATAATTTAAGTAATAATAGTTTTTTTAAATAAAATCTATATTTATCAAATATTTAACTTTTAACTATTAATAATAAAAATATATTAATTATATAATTAAATCAAGTTATTTACTAATAAAGTTTTTGTCAAACAATAATAGCAAAAAAATGTTTTTAAAAAATTTCAAATAAATGTAATTTGTAAAAAAAGCAATTATTTAA